ATATGGTTGTGAATCGGTGCCTTGGTATGTCATACTCAAAGTAAAAATTAAAATTGAAAACTAGGCATAATTTATGTTTGTTAATTTTTGGCCCGTCTGAATGTTTGATTGTTAGATTTTGATTAGTTAGACCGATTAAACATAATTAAACTGCTACTTTTTATAAGAGTATAGTTTATAAAAAAGGCTAACCTTAAAGTCAAAATTGAGGTGCACCTCCAAACCTTGCAAAAAATGAAATTCCCTTGACAAAAACGGCTACGATGACCTAAAAATCTTTCCACCCTTTAGTTATGAAAGTTAGAGCTACAATAATGGTACAAATCGAATAAATTTGTAAACATTCTAAAATCTTGAAAATGGATGGTCAAAATTTAGTGTTATTAATTAAAGAAGCCAAGGTCCAAAAGTACAATGAAAAATAGAGAAAAAAATATAGAAATGCAAATTGTACTCCTTATTATGTAGAGCTGAACAAACCAAAACCACTAAACTCAAGGATCCAACCCCACCCACCACCTAAGACTAACGAACTCCCCCAAAACCTAACCACCCCAAAAAACTCCCAATCTAATCCATACGTGCATCTTCCCTTATGTAATCTCCTGATGAGGTCGGGGTTGGGGAGGTTCGCACCCTACATTGAGTTGGTGCCCGTAAACCGATCATGGCAGTGTCCAGCACGGTGACGGTGCACAACCAGTGGCCAAAAAGTAGGAACATACCACTTCTAGACTTACAATGGTTTTATGTTTGATGTCCATGCATCTGGAGACTGAGATCAATTATAAAGTATTTCAGCTTTTGAACAAATTTTTTTTGGTGGGTTTTTAAGACGCGTCTTACATTTACTATCATTTTTTTTAATTATATATAATATATTTCACATTTTAAATTATTAATTATACCATTATTTATATTTGGAAAATTTAACAAAATGCACATGATAGATAACCGATTTAATATTTTACTTATATAGTTTGATTTAGTTAATAGTTTAGGAAATTTAGCAAAATACACAAGAGAGATGACCTATTTAATATTGCACTTATACAATTTGATTTAGTTAATAGTTTGGGAAATTTAGCAAAATGCACATGAGAGATGACCTATTTAATATTTTATAATGAAGTTTGATTTAATTACAAAATACCCATTAAAAAGCAAATAAAAATGAGTTGGAATAATTGTAAATATGTAAAATGTTGAATAATGCATCTCTTCTTAGAAATTTGATGAATTTTCTTTTATATGTTTGAAGTCTTATGCAGCCAATTCAGCTCACAGTCGAAACAATTTTGACTAGACTGTACCCCTAACTGCTCATGTGCCAATCAATCCAAATAACATAGCAAGAAATACTGTTTAACTTAGTGATTTAAAAATCGTCAAGCTTGCTCAAAAACACGAAAAACATCTCAAATTTGAAAGTGCGTCATTTAAGGGGGGAAAAAAGCCTAAGAATTACAATATTTTCTGATGTAAAAATAATTGACAGTCAGGGAACCGGGCTCCGACCCAGAGAGAGAGAGAGAGAGAGAGAGATATGGTCAAGAAATTAAAATTGAAATATTTCGGTTATGATCACCAAGGTGCATCATGATGAAGCCCACTAACACCAAATAAGCATTCCATTAAAAAAGACAATTACCAACGCATTATTTATCGAAAAAATCTCATATAAATAATGCATTTCCCCCAAAAATGTCCAGAAACAATGCTTTGGCCTTATTAAATGAACAACTGTTCTTTGAACTTTGTTTTAGTCATAGGCAATAGAATTATTTTTATTATTATTAAAAAATAGAAAAAGTTTATATAGGGTTGCAACCTTATATGTAGAACTACGGATGCACCTAAAAAATCCATTGAAAAGGTAGTTTTAGTGTTGAAAAACCCTTTGATTGATCATCTCGACGTCGAGATGTATGACCATGAAAAATAAAAAGATTTTAAGTTTCAGAAATAGTGCATTTTACAACATATTACCTACACCATCCATTTTCAAGATTTTCATATGTTGATAGATGTACTTGATTTTAATCATTTTTTAAATTTAAAATTTTATAATTAGATATAAAAATAGATTTTGACATAATCCTAATAACATTTTTCATCAAAATTATATACCGTGATAAAATTTGAAGGTGCACATTACCTCTACAGTTATGGATGCATCCGTATGCTAACTGCACTTTTAAAAAGATATCTCGAAAATCAGGACAAAATGGTATATGCATGGTGCTCACCTTGTGAACTAAAAGATAATTTTCCTTAAAAATAAAAAATAACTTCTGATTTTTAAAATCTAATTTTTTTGGACTATATCTTTATTTTATACCCGTTTGCATCATCTCCCCTGCTCTAAATTTCTAAAACGAAAACGACACCCAAATTCTAAAATTTAAAAAGAAAATCACACAAAAAACAAAATAACAAATATTTTTCTAATTTCTATAACAATTTCCAATCAAGATATTTTTTTGGAAATATTAATTATTTATTACTCGTATTTGTTGTTTTCATCCAGCTACCAGGAAATAGTCATGGACGGGCCCAAATCTTCTACACGGACCCGTCTGGATACGGAAGACGTGGCAACCTTGTGATCGTGGAGACTTGCCACTTGTGAAACAATGGACGGCCAGGATGCGGCAATGTCAAGGTCACGGGCGTTACATGCAAGGCGCACTAGAAGATAACGTCAACCTTCAAGAGAAAAGTTCAACCATATTGCCACCCAAATTATGGGTGTATTTTCCTATTTCCATTTGCTTTTATACATGTGTTATGGAAAATATGGAAAAACATGGGTGGAAAAAGCGTTTTATGTGCACTAAATGGAGCCGGTGCGCCATACACGTGGCGTGTGTCCATTGTTCTAAGGGATGACTGGTTCGTTTTAGGGTTTGTAAGTTTGGGCTTTGGACTATCTGGTGCCGGCTCGGCTTCGCCGACAAAATATTAAATTTCAAATAATAGAGGACACAGTAAACACTGCCAAATTCTCCCTTATTCCTATCTAAATAGCCAGATTGCCTCTCACCTTGAATTTTTGTCCACTAAAATTAATTTCAAGAAATTTGAAGCTAAAAAAGTTGTATAAATCCTACGAATTTGTGAACATATATGTTTAGGACAATCTAGATAATGTGATGTACATTATTTTTAGGTTTTAAAATCCTATTTTTTTTCACAATCATAATGATAAGTACAAGACGATCGATTCGAAGGTTTTTGATGCCAATAAAGGAGTTTTAATGTACATCTTTACTTACTTATTTTGATGGTGTTTGCAGCCTTGTCAAAATATTTTTTTGTTCCTTTAGGACAAGGCTAAGCTCCTTGCACCAAAATTGTTTTTTTGGTCCCTTAATTTATATAGGAAAAAGTTTATAGAGCCGAGGCTCTAAACAATCAAATTAAAGCTTACCTAAAAAAAATTTCATTAAAAGAGGTTATTTTGATGCCCAAAGATCATCAAATTGATCATTTTGGCATTAAGATGCATAGACATGAGAAAAAATGGACTTCAAGTTTTGGAAATAACGCATCTTGTAATGTATTTTTTTACTGTCAATTTTCAAGATTTTCATTGATTGCTCAATCTACACTACTTTTGAAGCTTTAAATTTTATAATTAAATATGAAAATATATTTCAAAGCTATCACAAAGATTTTCAGTATGGACACTATATTGCTTGACACTATTTGAAGGTGAGCCTTATTTTGATTATTTAGAGCCTCGGCTCTTTGCAAACCTCACTGTATACCGAAGAACCTGTGGTGGTGGAATGTGTACCCTACACATCTTTGTTGAATCATGTTATCAACCGAAATTGGTCGGAATCGATGATCTAAAATTTATTTAAAATAAGAAATAAAGAAATTAAAATAAAAATTATGAGGAGAATTAGGAGAGAACTTCATAAAATATTAGAAAAACTTTAAATTTCTTTTTTAAAAATAGGAGATTTAGGTGGGGTAGCAGGATGGTACCAAAACCTTTTCGGAACCGATTCAGTCCTACCTAATTTCCAGTTCAAATTAGTGGATTTTAAAACCTATTTCGATCCTTCTTAAGTGCCCCAAAAGAACTGAAAAATGCAACCAATCTCTTTGAGTTAACGGTTTTCTTTTACAAAATATTGTTCCTTTTTTAGTATTTGTAAGTTCTTATGTTTCCGATATATATATTTTTTCCAAAAACTTATAAACTTTAAGTACTAGATATTTCAAGAAAGGGCATATCTATTTGCTCTATCACTAACCGAACCCTATTGATTCCTATGGATTGGATTAAAAAGAATTATTAAATGCAGTATTCAAGTCCAGGGATGAATCGAAAAATAAATCTTTACTAGTTTTACCGCATATTTTTATGGAGAGAATGAACAAAATTAGCCTAAACCTCTTGCACAAATGGTTTGGAAGATCTGATCAATGAAATTGCCAAAGCTGACAAAGGTGTATTTTTATTTGGCGGAATAGAAAAAAATATTTGAAAAAAAAATAATCTTTACATGAAAATGAAAGAATCCAAAATGAATGAACCCCTATGAACTCATATGATAGTTTAAATATGGGTTGATTTAACTGCCCTAATCGGCGGAATATTATCCCATTTTATGTAAAATCTCTCTGGTTTCCTGTCGCGAACAAATTCGAACGGGAATTTCGATACTCAGTTACTTTACCATGTTAAAAATTTTAAAGACAAAATTACCCCCCAAAGAGAAAAAATTTCAAATACCACAACGGTAAAATGCTCCTAGGATCTCACTCGATATTCCACGCATAGACAAGGTCATTTTCCAGGACGCGAACACAAAAGAGAAAAAAGAAACATCGTTTTATATTCACTAATTACTAAAAAGAGGAAACCATCGATATTAAGTTTTGTGTGAAGTAGGTTAGGGTTCCATTTTTCATTTTATTTTAATTGTAAAAATGATTAAAATAAACTCAAAATTATTATTCTTAATTTCTTTCCAATAAACTACTGTAACCACAAAGAATACAAAACAAGTTTCTGTGCATATATATGGGCGAGCTAGTGCGTGAGCATTTGGTCTCTAGAGAGAGAGAAAGAAATATTGAGAGAGAAAGAGAATCCATTTCTGAGGTCTCAGAATAAACCTAGGGTTTCAGTTTGCTCGCTACCTTCTCGCTTCGCTGTAAAGGTTCGTCGTTTTTCATTCGCATATTTATGGCTGAATATACGTGAATTATTCCTTTTTTTATCCCTTTTTGTGCTTGCTTTTGGGATCATTTGATTGGTTGGTTAATGATCTGGTAATTTTATTTGCTCATCCTTTGGTCGTTTCTTGTGTGTTCTTAATTGTTCTTGTTTTAGGGATTTGATTCTATTTTTTCCGGAGATTTGACCTTTTTGGGGTCTTTTTGCATGTAAATCTGCGAGTTATTTGATTTTTTGCTTTCTTTTATTGGATTCATCATCATTGCATGCTAAAATTTTTATTTTATTTTGGGTTTTTGGTTTTTTGAATCAGGTTGTGTTCGTATTTCTTAAATGAATTTCTTGTGTCTCTGTTAATTTTATTGCCACTTTGAAATGGAAGAGATGTTTTATTTTGGTATTTTGGTAAATGCAGAAGTTTGATACTTTGCTTGATCAAATCAGAGTACTTTCTTTGTGATTTTGTTTTTCTTATGTTTCCTGCGTGGTTTTCTTCTTAAGGTCGAGAAAAACCTTAAAATTGGTGATTTATGTTATGTTGTTCTTAATTTACGGGTGCTTCTTTGCGAAGTTAATTTTATTATAAAAATTATTTTGTTTTCTGAAAAGAATTCTGATTTTTATATAATTTTTTTTTGTTTTTCGATGTTTTTGTTTTGTTTTTTTTTTTTTTCCTGATGTAAATCTTGAGAGCTCAGCATTTTGTAATGTCATTTTTCTTCGACTGTTATTTTTTCTTCAGTTCATATTTATATATGTAAATTCATTAGCTCCCCATTTGTGAGTTGTTTCTTTTAACTGATTTGCTGATATTTCCATTGCGTGATGAATGATCATCTTGTTCAATTTAATTTGAGGTACTTTTCCATCCCCGTTGTATTCAAAATGTTGATTGCATATTTTAGTTCCATTTGGAAAAGGTTTTCTAATTCCTTTCATAAATTTGATCTTTTACCTGTAATGTATCTTATGCTTAAAATTTTCTTAGCCAAAATCCCATCAATTTCCTGACACATCTCGACAAATTATCCTTTTCTCCGAGGCAACTACTTGATTTGTTTGCTATCAAAAAGAAAAAACTAGTTGATTTGTCAATCACAGATCTTGTGAACTTTGTTAAATTGTTTTTTTGCTGATATCTATCGTGTAGAATCATCCAATTTAATGAATGTTGCATTCTTTACTTTGATGCCTGTTTATTATTCTAAGCCCAATGTAAAAAACAAACTGGTTGAACCCACACAGCTTTTAATCCGTCCATTTCTGTGGCAAAAAATTGTTTGTTTGTTACAGAGTTAGCTGTCTTCTTATACCCACATGATGGTCCTCCTTCTTCAACACAGATGTTTCATAGTGGCAAATTTGTTAGTCAGTTCTTGTTTGGCATTCACTTTAAGTTTGTGCTTTTTTATAGACAAAACCCGTGCGTTTTCTCTATGCTTATACCTTGATCTCCTTTGTGTATATATTTGTTTTTTCAGATCGGAGTAGTGTTCTTCCAAAATCCTTTTGTCAATTTCCCTTTATTTGGTTACGTATACGGTAACTCACTTTTTCACTGGAGTAAAATTTTTGGAATTTTGTCACTGAATCTGTTCATTTCTCTTTGTAATATGCAAATTATTTGCCCCTAAGTTCGGCATTTCTAGACATTACCTATTTATTGTCCCATTTTTCTTCTGTAAACTACCTGGGCAAAGTAATGCATTTTGCTATATCAATTTCATTTTGGATGTAATTTGATTCTAACTAAAATTGCAAGTATTTTATGTGAACTTTTATTGACACAAACTTAACACTTATAATTGAGTGGAATTAACTATTCGCAACCTTAACATTTTTTTTATTATTCTTTTATTTCAGTCGGGTTTACTAGTGTTTATATCCATCTTTTTAGGACAGATCTTGCAATTCTTTGGGTAATCGTGTTCACTTGATCTCTGCCAAATTGTTCCAAATCCATCCCCTTTCTGTATGTTTCATGTTTTGCCTTTTGGAAAATGATCAGAGGCCCTGATCTCTACTTTAGGTGACTGGAATCTTTACAACCTCTGTAGTGCTCCCAAACTCAAAAATGGCATACCTAAATAGTCATTGAAAGACTCACTTCTACTGTTTGTATTATTTTTATTTATGAATAAATCTTTGAATACATCATCTTAGCTGCATATTTTTTGTGAATCGGATGTTTTTGTCAGTGAAGAGAAATTAGATAGTGCTCTGATGCTTTTACAATTGCTTCAAGTCTCATTCCCATCTCATAGAAAATGAAATTTCGATTTCTCGATGTTTTTATTTGCTCTTTTTTATATAGATTTTCATCTTGAAACTTTGATATACTTTTCTAGGCACAGCTGATTGTTTTTCGGTATGACCCATATAAAAAACTGACCTATACTTATTTATCAAATAATGAAACCCAGTTTTTCTTTTTTATTGGTGAAATTTTTCCCTCGTTCCTTTGATGGATTTGTTATCCATAAATTTGTTTATTTTAAGAGTGGATCTTAAGTATTTCTCTCAAAGAGCTTTTCTTTCTTCCACTTCCTGTTGTTACTTTTATTTTTTTATTGTTGAGGGACACACTGTGTTCTTCGATCCTGCTTCTTTCCTTCTAGATAAAACATTAGAAGTTGGAGTTAGACATTGGCACTTTCTTTCTCTTTATTTCATGTAAAAATGTATTCTCATTGTGGACCCTGAGGTTTGGTTGGCCTGCTTTGGTGTCATTTTTATTTTTCTTTTTTTATTCCTTTTAACGTTTCTAAATTTTTCCTTTGAATATATATATATATATATATATATATATATATATAGTATATAAGGAAAGGCTGCGGTCAGCAGCTTTGCGTACTCTTATAGGTGCGCCAACGGACAGGATTTATGTGGGAAAAATTAAAGGCTGAAATTTGCCAGCCTTTTTCCTCATCTTCCACTCGCCCATCAAGGGTTTTTTTTAGAGAGAGAAATTGGAGCGCTAGCACCGACTCTAATTCATCAAGAACTAGAATATACATAATTCAAGCCGAGAATGCTCCTGGCTCAAAACCAATGGACAATAGGGCTAATGGTGCGACTTTCTGCATATGCCAGGATAAATAAGCTATTTTTTTACAGAGAGAGATTGGGAACTGCTTGCTTGCATGACTGATACTCAAATTGCATCAGCCATTATCTCTCTCTTCCCTTTGGATTTTCTGTTTTGTGGATGGAATGGGTTTCCTCTCTCTAAAGCCTATAGAAAACACCAAACTCCAGAGCCTTTAAAGCCTTCCCTTTCTACCCTTATGCTTTCTATCTCTACCCATTTGTGGTAAAAAAGGGGGTAGTGGGTTATGCTGATAGAAGAGGGAGAGAGGTGGAGGCGAGTAAGAGAGAGGGGAGTAGGTTACTGGAAGTTGGTAGCAGGGGTTTGAATGAGGGGTAGTGTTTTTTTTAGAGAGAGAGACTGGTGGATAGGGAGAGAGAGAGATGTGCACTTTAGGAGGTGTACGGAGAGCCAGGTTCTTAAGATGGACGAACGAGGAAAAAAGTTCGAAAATTGCAGCCCTTAATTTTTCTTCCTGAATACTGTCTGTTGGCACACCTGTAAGGGTACGTGAGGCTGCTGACCGCAGCCTATATATATATTCATCCCTGCAACGAATCTATTATGTCAGTTGCGGTTTAATGTGAAAAATTGATCGCCACGAGCCTATTATGTCTGTTGCGGTACCTCTACCGACATAATAGGTCCATAGTGGTGCCAAATCCCCACCGTTGAAAAAAAAGAACAAAAGGATGGTGGCGAGCCTATAAGCGAAAATACTGTTCATTTTCGCCTATAGGCCTTGTGTGTGTGTGTGTGTGTGTGTGTTTCACTGGGTTTGGGTTTTCATAGTGTATGGGAAGTTGTATTTCTTGTTACTTTGGGAGGGGGGGAGATTATGCCACATGACCATGTTCTATTCTTTTAAAGTACCGAGTCATTCTTTTTCTTTCAGATTTTGAGAAATCAATTGAAGTCTTTCTGAGACTTACACACCTTTTGAGCAGCGCAAGCCAAGCATTCCTGTATCCCGGTAAGGCCTGCCTCATCCATTTAATTTTGACTTATGGTTCATTTCCACGTAATATTCTTGAGATTTCATTGTGTGATCACAATAAACCAAATACACATAACACTTGCCTTACTGTATTGAGTTTTCCTCTTTGCACTTCTCCATTTAGCAAAGTACTATTGGGATTAAGGCTTTTGTAAATGATGCTTTCTTTTCTTATGTTTGGTGGGTTACAACTCCTTGTATTTTTCATGTGCAATCGTTCACTTCAAGATTGAGAGAATTTAATTGTTTTTCTGGGTTGCTCATGTCTATCAAAACAGCCTAGTGGAACTAGAAGACAGAAGAAACAATTTCAAATTATTTGATCTGTAATACATTTTGTTAGTTTTGGTTGCCAAGGGAAAAAATAGTTTTTTTATGGATAAACACAGCTCACTTTAATTTTTTGGAATACATTTTCTTCTTAATATCTTTGTGCAGTTCTTCATCTGACTATAAAAACGAAACGCCACCAGGGAATGCTGAAAGATGTGCTTGCACGCCTCGACGACAAAGCCTAGGGCTGACTTGGCAGCTCCCCAAGAGCTCGCTGGATTCATCCTTGATGAGATTGGCCGGACCCACGACCAGTTTCGTGCCTACAAGCACGATGGTTCCCTCAGCTTACAATATTCCACCTCTTATAACCACGACGACGGTTGAACACTAATCGTCCCCAACCTCTCGCTCTGTAAATATATATAAATAAACAAATACTTAGCGGGAGATAGATAAACTCGACAGTACATATAGTTATTATTAGTGTGAGTATTTGAGATGGAAAACAAAGGGAGTGTATTGATGCAAAGATACGAACTCGGCCGACTACTGGGGCAAGGCACCTTTGCAAAAGTTTATTATGCAAGAAACCTGAAATCAGGCCAAAGGGTGGCCATTAAGGTGGTGGATAAAGAGAAGGTCCTAAAGGTGGGATTGATCGAGCAAATAAAAAGGGAGATATCAGTGATGAGGCTTGTCAGGCACCCCAATATTGTCCAACTCTATGAGGTAATGGCGAGCAAATCGAAGATCTACTTTGCCATGGAATATGTGAAAGGTGGCGAGCTCTTTAACAAGGTGGCTAAAGGGAAGCTTATAGAGGACATGGCTCGAAAGTATTTTCAACAACTTATCAGTGCTGTGGATTTCTGTCACAGTAGGGGTGTTTACCACAGGGACCTTAAGCCTGAGAACCTCCTCTTGGATGAAAGTGGTAATTTGAAGGTCTCAGACTTTGGGTTGAGCGCTCTAGCTGAATCCAAGAGGCAAGATGGGCTTCTTCACACTACATGTGGTACCCCCGCGTATGTGGCCCCTGAAGTCATAAACAAGAAGGGGTATGATGGCGCAAAGGCCGACATATGGTCTTGTGGGGTGATTTTGTTTGTGTTATTGGCTGGCTATCTCCCTTTTCATGACCCCAACTTGATGGAGATGTATAGGAAGATAAGCAAGGCTGAATTCAAGTGCCCCTATTGGTTCCCTTCTGAGGTTCGAAAGCTGTTATCGAAAATCTTAGACCCGAACCCTAACACCCGAATTTCTATATCAAAAATCATGGAAAACCCATGGTTTAGGAAAGGGTTCAAACCTATAGAGGCCCCACAAGAAGAGGAGGAATTGAACACCAAGGATATTGATTTGGCTTTTCGGTCATCCGAGAATAATAGCAATAATGTGATTGAGAAAAAGACAGATCTACTGCCAGCTGTAAAGCCGGCTTACCTGAATGCATTCGATATCATCTCGTTCTCGGCTGGGTTTGATTTGTCAGGTCTCTTCAATGAGGGCAACAACGTGAAAAAGGAAGAGAGGTTCACTTCAAAGAAACCCTTTTCTGCTATTGTGTCGAAGCTCGAAGAGATTGCCAAGAAAGTGAGGTTCAGGGTGAAGAAGAAGGATTGGGTTGTGAGGCTTCAAGGGTCAAAGGAAGGAAGAAAAGGGGTATTGTCAGTAGATGCAGAGATTTTCGAGGTCACACCATCTTTTTATGTCGTTGAGGTGAAGAAATCGAGTGGCGACACTTTGGAGTACCAAACGTTTTGCAAGAAAGAGCTAAGGCCGGCGCTAAAAGACATTGTTTGGACGTGGCAAGGGGATCAGCCAGAGCCAAAGCCAGAGCCAGAGCCTGAGCCTGAGCCTGAGCCAGAGCCACAGTTGTGAGGATTTGGGGGTTATTTGGTATTTTTGAACGGCCACCATCTTTTCAGGGGTAGGGGTACTTTGGTAAATTTTGGATGTGGTGGGTGTCGGTCCCTGAGGTATGGTGCCTAGTTCTTGCTTATTTACTTGAAATTCTTGTTTTAAATTAAAATTTCTCTCTTATGTGTTGATATATTTGTTGCTTGTTGGACTATGCTATATACTTGGTAACTTCCCTATGTTGTGTGATACTGAACTGTGTTGTCTATAACCAAATATGCACAGCTTTCATGGAAAGCTTTTTTATTAACGTTCATAGTTTCATCTTTGTAACAATTGTACATTATTAGAGGGAGGTTTGGGCATTTACATCTCTCTTGCTCTCTAGGTTGTATTACTGAATCAAACAGGTGCAATAATTTTGAGAGACAAGGTGCGCTATTTCATGGTTTGGTGGAATTTGTTCATGTTAATAATAGGAAATAGTAACTGGTGGTTCGATAGGTAGGGTGCGAGTCTGGTGACTGCCTTTTACTCCCAATTCTTTTTGCATTTACATTGTGGAGGCGCGCCACTTGGAAAAAGCTTAACAATATATTTTGGAGCCAGTGACTACTGCTCTCTTTCTCTCTCTCCCTACAAAAGTAGGCCTATTATTTTTCTCTGCGTGTGTGTGTGTGAGAGAGAGAGCATAGATTGGATAGTGGAGATATATGGTTTTTTAAGGGAATGCTTCCTTATCAGATGAGAGATGAGAAATAATAATAATAATATTATTATATTGTTAATGTAAAAATAAGATCTAAACTGTCTAATTTATTTATCAATCATTTTTATTATTATGGAATCAACTTACGAAATAAAAGGCTGAACTAGTTTACCAAAAAATTTTCAAAACCTGGTTTTCAACTAAGTAGAGGAATTTGTCATGTATTGCGTTTTTATAGACGCTAACCAAATAGCATTGTTGCTAAACCAGGTTTTAGCAAATTAGTAGATCTCCAAATTAGTTATCATTTTCAGGGGTCACAAGAAAGGATGTAAGCGGGTTGTGATTTGCCGTTAAGCTAACCGGCCTTAAATTCAAGCTCAGCACAACCTTGCGGGCCCAATGAAGGGGTCTGGACTTGGTTGGGTGGGGCCCGCCCATTTGACCATATTAAAATTCAAAAATAGCATGAACAGTGCCCCGACGAGTCTTATTACTAAGGCCTGGTCTCAACCCTTAAAGGGTGGCCTTAAACTTTAGGTTTCTCCTGGCCCAACGAGACCTATGAAAGTCCCCAAACTTAAAAGTGGATTTTACATACAGCGAGTGTGATTATGATCTTGTATCAAAAGTGTCAGGTCATGTTGATTATTTATACAAATATCTCCTCTTGCCTATTTGATTTCAACTTTTACTTCTAAAATTTCTAGTTGTCTAGATCACTCTCTTTCTAGTATGTGCTGTGGTGCGGAAGCTTTAGACAAGTTGAATTTTGGTAAATAAAGTACGAGAAAAGTAAAACCGGCAACAAGCAAGTAACAAGAAGCCAACAAGCAAGAAAAATAAATTAGGAAAGAAATAACAGAAAAAAGAACAACATAATTTACATAGTTTGTCGCAGTTGTGACTACATCTACCCATGTGGTTCGTCATAGAGGTGAAGGCGACCGATAAGCTCTAAATCTAACGGGTTGATTTTTGGTAAATAGAATCAGCAACAAGCAAGAAAAATAAAACAAGAAAGAAATAACAGAAAAAATAATATCAAAATTTACAGGGTTTGTCACAGATGTGAGTATATCTACACACATGGTTCACAGATGTGACTACATCAAAATAAAAATAAAACTTACAAAGCATTTAATACAAAACTTAACTTCCCACCAAGCTTTCTTCTTTCTACAATTTTCTCACTTTGGACCTTAAGTTTCGATCTACCTTTTTTCTCATGTATCTCTCTCAATAAGAGCCCAATAACTTTTAGGATTCTTTTGGCTTTATCTATTCAACTATGTAGACTCTCATGTGCATCATAACCCAACTAAGATTAACTCAAAAGATAAAACATTAGGAAGTCTATCATAACCCAAGACTAACTCAAAATAAAACATCCTAGATAATAGAAACTGTCCAAAAAAAAAAAGGAAAAATAAATATTTTATAATTAGGGTTTCAAGACAATTACAAAAGATAAGTTTATATTTTAGAAAAGAATACAATGAGACCATTTATCTTTGGTAAAAGGTGGTCACAATTAATCTTGACCATTGGATGTGAGATTAGATAACTGCATTTATTTGATCGACTAAACTCAATATTTTTTTTTTTTGAAATTTGTGATAAATCCAAGTTATTAGACTTCACATCAAATAGTTGTAAATAATTGTGACTTCATTGTATTCAAGGTAAATGGTATACAATCCCTTAAATTTTAAACTCGCACGTACGGAAAAAGGCTAGCTTTATCTCGTAAAGGGTACTTTGTTTCTTTATCTTTGATATAAGCATATTTGTATGGTAGCATACCATGTATCTGCAACTTCGGGTAAAAGACCTACGTAGTAAAATGCTTTTCATTTTCACAAAATTTGGGATACACTTTGATACCATCAAATGCGTATTTTTTAAAGGGAAAAAAAAGGGCATAATTCCAAATTCTGAACATTTAGATCTGACAATCTAATAATAGGACAGTCTTTGTTGATTAGGACTATTTTTTGTTTAGACATACAGTTTGTGTATGGCAATTTTTTTTGTTTTCTTCTGATATTTGTTGTTGAGTTGAGGAGACTACATCCCAAATTTTGTCGGGTGCTATAAAAAACTACAAGCTCGAGTTTATCCAAAGGGGTCCTATAAGTTTTTTTTAAAAAAAACCCTTTTTGAATATGGGAATTTTTGTTGTTAATAAGAAGCATAATTGATGTTACTTAAAAAAAAAAAAAGAAAAAAAAAAAGAAAAAAAAAAAAGAAGCATAATTGGTGTTTCACAATGACATTTTATTAGTTATTTAAACACACTTATTATTTAATTTAGGTGATGTCACGACGACGTGATGACATTGCTTCCGATGTGGATGATGTTATTCCCCATAAAAATTAATAAATAGTTATTTTAGGATACACCGTTAATGGTGAGTTTAGAATTTACTATTTCAAAATTTTTTACTATAAGATGCATTTAAATGTTCAAAAATGATTTTTGACTATAAATAGTTTATAGATTTTAGGAAGGGTGTTTTTATCTTTTCAAAATCCAACAAAAATCCAATTTCAAATTTCTTTTTTTTTTTGACTTTTCAAAGTAATTTAAAAATACAACTACGATCTTTTCGAAGATTTTTAAAAAGCTAATATTGATATAACGGTGTGGTTTCTACAAGGTTGCAACCTTAACAATCCAATTAACGCGCACCTCCAGATTTTATCATAACATGTATTTTTTGTGTAAAAAATTCTTAGGATTATCTAAAAATATATTTTCATATCTAATTATAAAATATTAAACAAAAAAAATGGTTAAAATCAAGTAGATCTATAAACATATGAAAATATTGAAAATGGACGGTCTAGATAATGTATTGCAAGATCATTATTTCTGATACTTAAAATTCTTTTCTTTTTCATATTCATATATCTCGTTATCGAGATGATCAATTAGAAGGTTTTTCAGCATTAAAACAACCTTCTTTGATAGATTTTTTAGGTGCATATGTAATTCTAAATTTTAAGGTTGCAACCTTATGTAAACTTTTTCTTTAATATAATTTTCATATATGTAATGATATTTTGTCGAAATTTTTAGAGTAGAAAATTTTAAGTTTACTATTAATGTGGTGAATGTTAGGATAACCCCATCAATAAATACTTACTAGTAGCTCATTCATCAGGATTACTCTAGTTTATTAGAGATTTATAGAGTTACAATTTTTATCTTTTAGGAAACAAATCTCACTACAATAGTAATCCCACAAAATAGGAAACTCAATATATAAAACTTAATATATTGTAATATACAAGATAGGAAACCAAATATCTGGTTTCTATAACTGTCAACACTCCTCCTCAAGTTGGTGGCTAGATATCAATGGAGCCTAACTTGGATAGTATCTGATCGAACTTTGTCTTTGCAATAGCTTTGATAAACATGTTTGCAAGTTGGTATTCGCTTATCACATAAGGAGTACTAATAATTTTTTACCGAACTTTTTTTTTCACAAAGTGACAATCAACTTCTATATGCTTCGTTCTTTAATGAAAATCTAGATTGGAGGTTATATGTATAGCTGCTTGATTATCACAAAACATCTCCATTGGATTGACTGTTGGGAACCCCATATCTCGAAGTAAGTATTTTAGCCACATCAATTCACTAGTAGGTGAAGCCATGCTCTATATTCGGCCTCTGCACTAGATCGACCAATTACATTTTGTTTCTTACTTTTCCAAGTAACTAAATTTTCTTAACCAAAGTACAATAGCCGGTAGTGGACCTCTTATCAATTGGACTTCCCAGTTCGCATAAGAATAACCAATAATATTAGCGTGATCATTCGGTTTCAACCAAACACGTTTGCTGGGTGATGACTTAAGATATTTGAGAATCCTATCGACAACCTCCATATGACATGATCTAGGAGCATGCATAAATTGGCTCACGAGACTAACCGCATACATTATATCTGGTCGCGTTACAGTAAAATAAATCAATCTGCCTACAAGTATCTAAAAGCGGCCCACATCTTCAAAATGTTTTCCATTTGTTGAATTAAGCTTGTACGTAATATGAACAGGAGTGTCAACGGGTTTGACTCCCAGTTTCTTTTAACAGATCTAATACATGTTTCCTTTAAGAAATGAAGAGTCCATTTTTTTAATGTGTTACTTCAATACCGAGAAAGTACTTTAGTTAACCAAGATCCTTGAAGTCAAATTTCTTGTGAAGATGATTTTTAAGTTGCATGATGCTTTCTTTATCATTACCTATAATGATAATATTGTCAACATAAATAAGTACAACTGTTGTACTTGAAGTTCCCCTTTTTGTGAACATCAAAGAATTAACTTCTGAAAAACTTATACTCATCAAAGCTGTGTTAAGTTTGGTATACCATGTGCGAGGTGATTATTTAAGTCCGTACAAAGCTTTCTTTAATTTGCATACAAGACATTTCTTATTTTCTTTAGAATGACCTGGAGGAAGACTCATAAAGACTTCTTCTTCAAGATCACTATGTAAGAAGGCATTTTTAACATCCATCTGATGTAGAGACCACCAACAATTAACTGCGATAGACAAAAAAACGCGAATATTATTCATCTTGGCAACTGGTGCAAAAGTCTCTTTATGGCTGACTCTATAAGTTTGGGTAAATCTTTTGGCCACCAACCTGGCTTTATGTCTCTCAACAAAATCATCGCTATTATATTTGATTTGATTAACCCTTCTACATCCATTTGCTTTCTTCTCTTTGGTAGTTTGACAATATCCCAAGTATGGTTTTTATCAAGTGCTTGAAGTTTGATGTATACTATCAGCATAAACAGAACTTCAGAGTTATGAGACAGAGAATAACTTGGTCTTACCAGCACCATGGACATGAATCAAGGAACCATTAGCAATAGACACAATGTTCATATTTTCAGTAATGTTTAGGTTGGATAGACACTATAAGTTGCCAGACATATGATTTGTGGCCCCTGAATCTATTATCCAAAGAAAAATGTCACAGGAAGACATGAGCGAAAAATAATTATTTGCATCCGGGAATAAAGAGAGAGGATCATGTGTGGTGGAAAAACCATTTTTGTTATGTAATTGCTGATGATGATCATAGTTGCAGTGATGTTTTTTAGTGGTTGCAGTCTGAGGGGTAGATTTGTCTACTATCTTATTACTTCTATTTTGAGGCAGTTTTATTTCATATTTCTTATTATTAGCAACTAAGAAAGATTTCATAACACTTTTTTCAGAGGTTCTGAAATCAAGATCTATGAATTTTTTTTGTATTTATATGTCCAAGTTTAAAATTTTCAAAGTGAGAATGAGAAACAGCTTTCGACCAAACAAGATAATTAAATCCATTAAAAAAAACAATAAAAGTTTTATATTGGAGCTAGGTTATGAATCTGCTATTACAAAGTGATAAATAGAACTAAAAGACTGATCTGATCAGTAAAAAGCAATTAAAGAATAGAAGATGTCAATCGAAACCAACTGAAATACCCAATTAGCACTATCGTTTCTCTCTCTAAAAAAGGTCAATATGTATCTAACTGCTTATGAATCACAATAACATGTTGTTGTCGTTCACGAATCAAATCTTACAAACATTGAAGCAATTCTGGAAGCTGTACAAATTCCCACTGTGGCGGTGAAGGGAAGGAAACAAAAGGAATGGACCCCTCAATTCAAAGTGAGGATGCAAGACGATGATGGGCCAATAGATGATGCAAAAAAACTAATAATTCAAATTGAATGCAAAGAAGAGGACACAAGGAAGGAAAAGGTCAGCTGGAAGGAGAGAGAGAGAGAGCAAAAAAAAAAAAAAAAAAGGGTAGGTAAGAGGACAAATAAAAGGAAGATAGAATTAACGTTTCGGAGGTTATCGGACACAGGCGCAGCGGAGCGATCACACAATTGCCCAAATTCAGACTCGCTTCAAAAACTCACACGA